TTTAGCATTACGTTTATTTTTAAATAGTTTAATTAAGACGTTTGACTTTGCAGCAGTTTGACATATTATAAATATACATTTGTTTAATGTTCACTGCCTAGATTTTTTTTAATAGTAAATTAGATTGCACAACAGAACATGCAATGTAGTGAATGAAATTGTTTCTTCTTTTCAATTCGATATTTTGTGTTTCCTTAGTTTTATATATTTTATTTTAGGATTCATTACATGGATGGATTTGTTTCTCAGCATCAATGATTTTTTTTTGTATAAAGTGAATGTCCTTGGTGCTATTGTTACATACTTTATGTATGTATGTCTTACGTATACAAACGTTTGACCCATGTAGACGGCCGGGCGACAGGTTCATCCATGAAGTAGTTCCATCATTTTTTTCCTTCTTTGTCATGGTGTAGTAAATTTCCTCATTCACTTTGAACAAATAAATATTATTATATTTTCGTCTTTTGTTTTTTTTTACCCATTTTGTCTATTTAGATTAAAATTTTTATTTTATTTTAAAGTAGATGCCAAAATGTACGTATCACTTAGAAAGCTATTTATGTTAAAGTTGCGTAAAAAACCTCAATACAGCATTCCTTAACTGATTTCAGGACGTGGCACACCCGATATCGACAGTAAAGATTTGAAATACGCACAATCTCCAGTACACGATGGACACGGAAAGATACGGATAAATCCAGCAACACAGCACGCATCGACATCCACAGAATACCAGAACGATTCAATAAACAACAATACGTTACAATCAGGCGGCAGTCAGATGCAACGGCCGGTGGCAAGGAGAAGGTTACGGAGGAGAGCAAATTCTGCTTCCAATGATCCAGCAGAACAGCTCACAGAAATGTCCGTCCGAGGTCTAAATTTGTTTCGATACGCATCAGTGAACGAAGGGGTGTATCAGTGCATTGAATGCGCCAAAGAGAACATCCAGAAGACGTTCAAAAACAAGTATTCATTCCAGCGGCACGCGTTTCTTTACCACGAGGGTCAGCAGCGGAAAGTTTTCCCCTGCCCTGTGTGTTGTAAGGAATTCTCGAGGCCTGATAAGATGAAAAACCACATGAAGACGACGCACGATTGCTACGTTCCTAAGGATTGTGTATATCCATCGAACGCATTCTTTATGATGCCGGGGATAGAGGGTCAGCTGCCGCCCGGGATTAAGCTGGAGGCCATTGGATCCGCCTCTCCCCGGGGCTCGACGCCCTCGCATTCGTCTCCCGATCCTACGCAAGTTTGAAATGAGCATTTCACAAATGCCGCCTTTCCAAGTTCAAATCTGAGAGGTCCTATATGAAGTGCCTTCGTGTTATATAAAGTTATTTATATAATAAGCGCTGACATCTTCGGAAATTATTCTATTTAGTTACATGTACAGTGTGGTACGATATATTTACACAAATATTTTATCCTCTTTCCAAGAGAGAGTTTGCGTGTTAGGGATTATTTAGCAGATGCCAGAGTTCATGGTATAAAAATCAGTATATTAGATGTTTTAAAGACTATTTTCTTTCTAATAAGTTTTCTATATAGGTTTAAGAAATTCGTGAATTTGATAGACATAATATTTGTTCTATTTTTGGATTAAAATTTTGTACGTACACATTTTATCGTACGCGACATATTATTTCCAATGATACTGTTATGCATTTAAAATCTAATATCTGTTACATAGAGTTCATGTTAAACTTTTTTTTTTGATGAGTATGGTTGTGCAAATAATAGACAATAAATATGCAATACAATAATGGAGGCCAGTTACGCAGTTCTCGCAGCGTTAGAAATTTAATGTTATACTAAAAGAAAGGAAGTCTTTAGTGATAGGTGTTGTCAATATTTTAAAGTGCCTTCCATTTACACAATTTTATACATTGTTTTTGAGTCTAGAGACATTTTAATAATACAGTCAATTTCATAAAGAATTAATTCTAATAAATAATTTAATAATTACGGACCAAAAATACTTATAAATTATCAAAAAACTATCAGGTTCCATTATGTCCCCTTTTGGTGTTGTTATTTCCGAGATTTCCGTAAAATTGCAACACTGGAACAAATTAGAAAAACATGTCATCTCTCTTATTCTCTTTGAATATAAAGAGATGACTATATTTTAATACAGTTGTCAGCAATAACCCACAATAACTCCGACCAAAGACTTAAATTAACTTTCGTCTTTGTATTCTAAATGGGGAGATAATCCTATTCTTCGTTTTTCGTTGGCCGTATGATACATAATAAAATTGTGCTGCGAAAATTTCGCTTGCACACGTATAATCTATAAGTATAGTTATAATATGTTAAATTTTAACCGTCTGTTCTAATTAAAGACTTTAACTTAGATTTTTAAATATACGATTTATTAGTGAGTCTGTTAATATATGTACCTATATATTCTTTATATATAAAAAGATGTTATTCGTTAGATATATCTGAATGGTTACGTAAAATATAATAGTGCCATAGCACATTTGTTCGTATTAATGAATGTTTCCAACAAATAAATCTACATAATATAGTTATAGTTTTAACAATGTTCTAGCGCGAGCTAGGACAGAGAAACGACAATCAGCAGTTCTTCCATTGATAAGGGATATGTTTGTTAGTTAGTTAATGTTAACTAAACTCCGTGTTAGTTTTAAGTTCGAGTTTAACAAATCTCCATTAAGGAGTAAGTTTGAAGTTTTGGAAAAATTTAATTGGCGAGCAATTTATTTTTTAGTGTTGAAATATAATTGTAGATTGTAATAACTACTTAAAAATATAATTGGTTATATAATTCGAATTAATTTACGTGTTTGAAGTTTGAACGCACAAATAAGGTCTTCGTTAAGTTTCTATAGGGTTGAGTTTTGTAAATAGCGTAAGGGTGTAATACTTGAATTATTTTTAGATTTAATATAACCATTAAGGTATTAACAATTGCAGTGTGATTTATTTAGATATACGGCGCCAGTCTGTCGCACAAATTTACATTTCGTAAATAAACCTCTTTGGTACACGGAGATACGTTCATAATTTCTCATTTCTTTTTTTTAATTCAACTTATTTTAATTTTCACTATTTTTTATCTGCATTCTAACGATGAGATACAGCTGTGAATTGTGTTTATTTTCTCCTTTTTTTTGTAGTATTTTATTTTGTGATATTAGTGCTAACTAAGTTAGCGTTTCATATGTTCATTGTTAAATCATTATAATTATTTCTTTTCCTTTCTAACCACACGCTGCAAGGCAGCTTATTTAAAATTATAGGTTTTATATATTTGAAAGAATTCACATGAGTATTATAGATTATAAACATCGTTTTTTTTCGGCTCTAACTAAATTGATAGATTCACACATTTAGAACATATTTTTTTTTAGACTTTAAAAAACATATCTTTTAATATTTAAGTTTTTCAGTTTATTTTTTAATATTTTAAAAGTATTTTACTGACATTAACGAGTTTAATTATTTGCCTTCTCTTTTAAATTGAGACTAAATAACTAATGAGAAAAAAAAAATAGTTTATCGGTCAATAAGCATCGCTTTGTTTTGACATAATTGATATAAATTTTATAAAATATGTTACAAACTATAGTACATATTATTTTTGATGTATATTTTCTATTTTAAACATATAATAAAACAGATTGAATTCAATAATCCTTCACAATTAAGCAAGTATGTGCAATGTTTTATTTAACTGTTGTTTATTTTTCTATATTCTATAATAAATATAATAGATAACTAAAAGTAAAAACAGATCAAATGATATTTATGTGCTGTAATTCACATTTTACATTATTCCAGCCAATATATCGAATCCAGCGCTAGACTAAGTGGAAAATTGTAAACCAACACAGTTCATGACTGTCGGTTTACATTTTCCTAAATGTAATCCAGTGCTGGGTTATATCGCTGTACTGGGATAGTGTAAGCTGAGTATAAAGCTTCACGTTTAGTTTTACCGTGGGTTTCCATAGCCGAAACCAATATAAAAACGTAATGTCATTCTTTTTGTTAAATCTAAGAGGATACGGTTTTTACCTAATTGCATCGGAAATGGAAACCCAGGTTTAGTTTTTTTTAATCTTCTTTATTTTGTTAATTTTTTAAGTAGCTTTTCATTTTCCCTTATATTTTTTTTTCAATTTAAAACTTACCTTTACAAAAGTTTATCTTCGATGTAATAAAATATTATCAATATAAAATTATGTATAAAGAAAAAATTTAAATATAGTAATATCTTTTATTTCTTTCAATGTTTCAATTTTCTTTTTTTTTTATAGTACACATCTATTGAACTTTTTTTTAATTTTTCAGAAATTATAAGCTCGTCGAATAAGTAATAATTATTAACAGATTAATAACTAGCACTTTTTAATGGTTCATAACTCTTGTAATCTTTTGTTCGTAGCAAAAAGTAAAAAAAAAGCTTTAACATTTGATGTAAACTAAACTACGCAAAAGATTATTTTTATTGTAACAAAAAAAAAGTAGATATATAAGGGAACGAACTTTACCAGCGTATTAAATATTAATAAAGAAACGTGTACACTGCAAATAATAATTCTTATAAAATAAAAAAAATTAAAGACTATAATTTTTGTTTATTTAAAGTTTTTTCACCTGAAGGAAAGAAGTTTTTCTCCTCAATTTATTTTAATTAATAATTATATGATCAGGAATCATAGCAGAGTTTGGTCGGACAACCCTGGTCAATGAAAAATATAGAGTTAATTATTTCAACAATGTGTAGATAGTTATAACTTCTTTATTTAAATTTAAAAAAAATATTTCGATATCGAATTTGACAACAAGATATGAAACACCACAATCACATCGTGGAGAGATATAAATGTGCAGTAATTTTGTTTTAATTTCAATTTTGAAATTGTTTACCTAACCACATTATATGCTGTTTTATTGCAAAAATTTATATATACATTGTGCGTAAAAAAAATAGCTTTAAAATTAGATGTGTTGCATTTTTCATATAATAATAAAATCTAATCGAAGTAAATATGAGCTGTTGACAACTTCAAGTCGACCGTAATAAGAAATGGTAAAACTATAGTTCCGTGTTTCAAATGCCTTAAATCATAAAAATGATTTTGAATTGCAGTATATCACTACACATATGAAGATGACGGAGAAGGTAATAGCGTCCCGGTCATTACTTTGGAGGTACTTTCCAATTACACACAAACTGACCCTACCCCCCAGTACTCCGAACAACACGATCTAATGTTAAACGAAGCTCAAACGAACGAATCACAAGATGCTACTTGTATGCAATATAATGAAAATACCTATAACCAAATGGAGGCAGCTAAAATAGACAATGAAAACAAAGACCAAGAATATGGCAACAGTTCTAAAGTGAGAACGGATCTTCTGGAATATATGACAAGGAATGATGGGAGTGTATTATGCAAGTTGTGTGGGGAAATCTTACAAAGTAGGACGCATTGGTACAGGCATAAATACAAAGCACATGCTATGCCACCGCTGAATCCGGCGCCGCTGTTTCAGTGTGAACAGTGTCTTGTATTCTTCAAGAGTAGGAAAGGTTTGTAGCGTTTTGTTTGTACACCGAACATTGCTATTTTCATTAACCTGAGCTTAGATAACAGCAAAAATGAGTATCGTAAATATACCTTGTTATTTCAGGCTACATCGGTCACCTAGCCAGCAGACATAGTGAAGTTCTAGCTGATTCAAGTCCGGTTTTGACTAACTCACAAGCAGAAGCACTCGCGAAACAAGCACAAACGCAAACGGAGATGCGAGACGATACGGATCCAGAGCTGGCTATACCAAAGACGAGTGTGCCCAATTATCAGTCCATAGTTAAACAAGCGACAAGGACATTAGAGACAAAACGACATTATAGGAATACTAAAGGTACTTAACTTTTTTTACTATCAAATACTTTACTTAATATGTGTTAAGTCCAAGTTAAGAAAGTCCTGGATCGAACCAACGGCGAAACTAATAGCTTTTCAGTATGATTGTATAGAAAAACATGGGTTTAAGATGTGTCTGTAAACAACTAACCTGAGTTTTGGTTCCCGAAATACCTGTACAAAAATATCTGTTTCCAAAGAGAAGAGTGCTTAAGAAATGACGTAGATGATAAATGTTATTATAATCTGGAGTGTACTCGTTTTACAATTGACAGCTTCGACACTGATAGCTGTCAAAGCAACGTAGTGATGCGAACCAGTAATTGTAAAATTAGTTTATTATAATGAAATATATTGAAATTTTAAGACTTTATAGAAGTTATTTTGTTTTTGTTTTATGATAAATCTCACATATTCCAGATCAGGAGAATCAAGCAGATTGGGAAGAGCGACGTACACGTGAGGAAAAACTTGTCGCCGATATTATAGACCGTGTGCGGAGGGAATGCGAGGCGCAGGGCTCCGGAGGGCCAACGCGGCGTGGTTACTCACGACGCACCACCGTCATGCACACGTAACATCCACAAGGCGACATGTCAATGATATAACGTAAACTTAAAAGTTCCTCTGAATTGTCTACACAAAATCTTTTTGGCCTAACAAGGCCGGTAATGCTCATCGTTCGTGCCAAATCTTTTTTGTATATTTACGTGCCATTTCAGTGAAATAAGGTGCCAAATAAAACATTTTTATTGTATAATCTACATATTATGTGCATAAGAAATTGTAAATAGTTATTTATACATTACTGTTAATTAGCGATATTTGACGTTCTCAATACTTTTTTAAAAGTGTCGTTCCGTTATATTGGTGAAAAATTTTGATGATATTTTACGCTTACGTTCCTTTAAGATGTTATTGTTTTATTTATTTATTTTTATATTTCAATTATACATTAGTTAAATTTTGCTATAATGTGGTGAAAACAAAATTTTACCAAGCTCCAGACACTATTTAATTAAATGTTTTGAGCTAAGTGTTATACTTAAGTACACAAAAACAACTATTTCAGACAGATTGATTTTTCCAGCAGATAGTGCTGTAGTGTAAATCACAATGACTAAATACTTTTTTTTTTGTTATTTGTAAGTATCTATTGTCTTTTAAGCGCAATATAAACTTTTAACTCTAGTCTATAACACAATTTGTTTCTTGTTGGTTAATAAGAAATATTTTTAGTTCTAAACATAATTTTTAAAATGTACTTTAAGCCCTTCCATAATTCATTAAATCTGTGTGCCAATGACGTGTCATGATAGAATCGTGGTAGTGTAGTTTTATGTTTTTTTTTTACTTTTATATTTTTAACTTAGTTTTAAAACGAAATCATATATATTTTGTTTTAGTCGTCTTAAAACAAGAACATTTTACTCCTTTTTATCTGCAATATCATACGGTCACTGCTAATTTTCTCTAACAGTTACTGTCGTTGAAAAAAAATATATAATATCTAATTGATTAGTGCGAATGCGAGAAAGTGTATGTATTTTTATGGATTTGCGGTATTTTGAATCCATTATAATCAATAGTTATTTTATAAAAGAATAAATAAACATGAACGCGCAAAATTTTAAATCTATGACAAACAAATTAGAATTATATTATTTTGGTCCTATAATATTCAAAACAAACTTTTACGTATTGGTGATATTATATTAATACAGAAATAACATTTGCTAAAAGAGAAAAAAAATAAAAACATCATAAAGAACAAAAATATTTTTTTAGTTCCGTGTAAGTTTAATGGTAAAAAAAAATATTGATCGTAAACGGCTGATCAAAATTATTCTGTCCTACGAAAATCTACATAGATATAAGAATGAATTGTGAGACTGGTATTACATATTTAATATTGTTGAATATGTAATTTAATTTAGGTATATTTGTGTTATACATTTTATTATTATTTGTATGTATGTTTATAAAAATGTAAGAACGCCCATTTACAATAATCAGAAATATTATTTAATTTTAATAGTTAATTGTTCTGCGTATTAATTATTATATGTGTAATTTTTATCTATGTATCAAGAGACGCTGGCAACAAATAAAAAGATAACTATTTACCATGTTCTTTTTCCAATCATCACTCATTTCAAATTCTCTAAGCCACGTTTGAAATTTATCTGAAAATCTAAATTAACGTATGTTTCTACATGTAAAAGAAAATCATAGACGAACTGAGATTGTCCTTCATTTCGAAGTTAAAAAATCATTTGTACAACACTAGTATCATTGTCAAATTCAAGTAATCAAGTAGTTGTCAATGTCATTTGTCAAACAATAATCAGTATTTTTAAATTATTAATTAATTTATCGTCACATACTTATTAAATTGTAATGAAATTAAGAAAAACTTACGATAAATACTAGAGTTGAAGATGCCACAACTATTTCAAGTATTAAGATGTTATAAATGTTTAGTTTTTCAAGTGAGTTCACAATCCATAATGTAACTTTTTAACATAATTGCTGTTGTTTAATTATCTACGACGAGTTTCCTCTATTTTAATACCTTAATTTGTGGCTAGTAAGTCCTAATAATAAATAGGTGATAAAAAGTGTATTTTCTTAGTCGACTCAATGTTTCAGATACACCAAACAAAGAAGTCAAATAAATGGCAATGCAAAATGTGTGGTGAGAAGCAATCAATTAAACGACACTATGGGATTGGTAATGGTAAAGAATGTAGACTTCATGTTCAGAAATTAAATGGTTTGAGGGGAGAAATAGAAGATGAAAAATTAAACAGTCTAAATTCAGATGATGATTGTTCAAATTCCGAAGAGGAAAATGTTCATAGTAATTTAGTTCAAAATGAATTAAAAACTAAAAGTAAATGGTCTACATATACAGAACAAGAGGAAGAACATCAGGTAAATGAACCCATGTATCTAGATAATAATGAAGTTTGTTTAGAAATTCCCAGTAAACAAAATAAATCTGTTAAGAGGAAAAAAGTTATTCCTACATATAAAGAAAATGTAACAAAAAGTTTTAAAGCTCCTTACAAATATGAAACTGAAGATATAACACCGATGAAACCTATAAAATATACTGTAGACAATAAATCAAATATGTCAGCTATAATTGAATTAAGTAATCACCATAAAGAAGTATCTAGTTTGGAAAAGAATAAAGTCCAAATAGATTCAAAATGGACACAGTTTATTGATGAAAATGATTTTGAAGAAAATGTATGTCCAGCTCAGAACAATACTTTAACAGATACAAGAAAACTTTTTCAATTATGTGATGATACTGATCTTGATGATGTACTTAATATTTAGTTGTAATAATCAACGATCAATCAAACGGTAAGAATATTAAAAAATATAAAAAAGAAAATACCTAAGAAACTTTTTTTATTCATTTAATAGAAAAATACAGATTTTAAATTCATTTATACCATTTTCAAAGATTTCTAGTCATGTAAAGTAGCGAATAAGGATGAAATTTGCAAAACAATCTTAGTAAAAGTAATTGGTAAGAAGGAAATGCAATATTAATAAAATGTAGGGGAAGAAAAGAGCCCAAGCGAAACAAAATGCTGTACATTATTTTTTTGCCTACCTGTGATACACTTTCCTGTCCCTGTGGTTCTTTTGTTTAATTGTTTCCTTAAAATGAATTCCTACAGTTTTACCTGATCCATGTGTCTTACCTTTTGTATAAATCCACTATTTAATATTTTCCTTAACATTAATAAAACTCGGGTAATTATCACAATGGCAACAGTGTAATATCACTTCTTTATTTCTAATAGACAAAGATACAGACAGATATTTTCATTACAATATTTGAATACATTTCTTCTTTGATTACCACATTTGCATTAAAACTTTAATACATTTCCGTTTAAATAAAAATATAATAAGTCGGAAACTTACAAAGTATTATATCATGTATATTATGATAAACATTTAGCAAATCTTTGTGGTTTGTACAGTTCCATATTACTTAAGCATTTAGATAATACTTCAGGCAGTGATTTAACTTCTTAAATTTATATAAATCTAATATTATAGGCCTCTAAATAGTACCCATTTAATAACAGTATCTACTTTCAACACAATACAGTTAGGCACGGGAGAGTAAGTAACTATAAACGTTAAGAGGCTAATCTTCTATGGAATAGTCAATAAGAACGTTGAAAGAGTTGAAAAACGATTAGAACAGGAAGCCCTACAAGATTCGATGTAAAGTTATTATAACCTCTACTAAATATTTGTCGTATTTTAAAAACATTTTGATGTTTTCACATTAAATACGATAATATATCATTAATAATCAAATTACGATACCTGCTACGGGGTTCGTAACCCTTAAATAATGTAAAATCAATGTGTCAATCACAAATTCACTATAAACAGACTAGAACATCATCATATGGCGACGACGATGCAGCTCTCTCGCTCTCGCATATCGACGACCATACCCACTCCATCGCCAGGCCCTGCTAACATTAATTTTGTGAAAAATAAATCATTTAAACCATAATTAAGTAATAAACAAAATGCTCTCGAATTTATCTAGAAGATTTAATTTGCCGACAGTCTACAATCATGTATTTCAACAAGTTAATATTTTTTTTAGAATATACCGCCAGAATTTCAAATCAACGTTCGATTTTACCTTTCGTTATATCCTAGAGGTTCACCTCTATACAGTTGTTGATCATCCAATCGTCTGTTTATTTCTTCGCTGCTTCCTAAAATCAATAACATTTCAATTAAATATAAAAAAATATACGTTCATCTGCACTTATACATTTATAGTTGTTTTTTTCATGATAGGATTAAAAATGTCATAACAAATTTTCGCCGTTAGTCACTTTCAAAAAATAATGTGTTCATTTTGTATAGTATACCATACCTCTATAAAAATATACGATCACTATAAAATAATCTTTAACTTAGTTTTATTACACTTATTTTTGCTTTAGCGTATTTTTTACTTTTCTTCAAAAAAAAAATCTTGCCACAATAAGGGTTAAAATGATTACCTAAAGGGTTTGAGTGGGAAAATCTTCTACAAGAAGGTCCCCGACAAGTGAGAAGCTGCTGCAATTGATTGTGGAAGTAATCCTTTTCAGATTGTGTCAGATATTTCACTCTATTCTGAGTCTCGAAAGGATCTGGATGGTGGAAAAATAAACACTCATTAAAAAGGTTCAAAGCCATCTAGTGTCCAAAGTTTGTAACTTTCGAACTCGTATTATCGGCCAAGAATTTATAATCGTCATAAATGGTGGCATTAAGAAATTTAACCATTTTTTGACATAAAATAAAGTAATCTTACCAATACGTAAATTGTAATAAGTTACAAGTCCGGTAACAAATTCGCAGTAGAGAAGATTGTGGGTGGCGTTAATAGTTCTCACGCAGTTATATGTATTGTTTGAAGAGCTCATGCAGAAACAGAACGGTCCCGAGGTCCAAAGCGGTGCGGTTCGCCAATGATCATTGTCGTGTCTGAAGCAATTCATGCGCTCCGATTCACAGAGCCTCTCAAGTTCCGCCTACAAGTAAAAGTTCAACATCCATAAAAGAATTACATTAAACAATACAATTTTGAATTTCTTCAGCGATAAATGCTATAGTATTTTTAAAGGCCAAAATAATGTGAAAAGGGAATGTTATTGAAAAAGTTTTTTTTGGTTTTAGGTTAGTCATTAATTTACCTTCTTCTTAGCTTTCCTTAGTTTCTTACGCAATCTTTGTTCTTTTAACTTCCTTCGTTCCTCTCTTGCTTTTTGAGCTGCTTCCAGATAAGCGTGTCCCGGACCTCTTGGTTTCCTAAATAATATTTTACATAAATTAGATATTTCTCTAAATATTTACATACAGATTATATAATATTTACAGAAACATACCGATTTTCTTCACAGTAACAAACATGTTTATCTTCGTTTTCAATAAACAAGGGGTGGAGTCTTCTTTGGAATATGTCCGTTGGTTTGCTAAAAACGCCCAAATCAGCTCCAGCTTGGTTAGGATTCCTTTGCTCGTATTCGGAAGCATCGAATCTTGTCGGTCCTAAACTCGGAGACGCTGTTGTTTCATACCTTACTGTAGGTTTGTTTGTGGACGACGGAATAGTCGATATACTGTCGTAACTAAAGAGATTCGTGAATTTCGGTGTTGTTGAAATTTTTTCAACAGTGTCATATATATGTGCATCTGAAGTATGAATAGGTGAATTTATATCTATAACATATTCATCTATTTTTTGTTTAGTCGTAGAAGTAAATATTGGTTTAAAATACTCAGTTGTAGTTACATCATCTAATATTGTAGGTACACTATGTAACGTTGTTTGCTCGTCTACTCTATTTTGGTCATAGTAATTATTCTCTATGATTATTGTTGTGATCTGTGGTTTCGGTAATTCTGTATTATTAGCTTCGGTTCCATCATCTGACATATTTAATTCATATCGTAAGGTAGTCGCTTCCGTAGTGGTTGGTTCATTCTTATGAGAACCGAATACATTTTCTTTGGTTACAGCATTAATAGTTGACACTATATAATCATTAGATTGCTTAATTTTTTTGTCTAGTGTGTTATTTCTATGTTTATATTTCATTCTATGGAGTTTTGTTTTTCTTAGTTGATCTTTAGATGCTGTTTCATGCGTAGTGTTTCTACTACGTAAATGATTTTGATTAGCATAGGGTGTAACAACTGTTTGCAAGTCAATCATTGGTTTGCTTGTTTTTAAATGTCTTTTTATTTCTTTCAAGTCCTCAAGCTTTGTCCGCAGTTGTCGTATTTGATCTTCAAGGCTAAGCCTGTTCGTATGCCAAGCTTTTAAGTCGTTATATATTATTTGTGAGCAATTCACAGTTCCGTCTTTTTCTATTTTACATTCTAAAGATGATTCATTGGGCTCTAAGACATCGTTCTTTTGTTTATGCTTATTATGATTTAAATGTTGAGCTCTTCGTTTTATTCTCTTATGATCTACATTTTCTTTGGTACGTTCATAAGCTTCAATATAGGCCTCTGTTTGCTTAATCAGTTCTTCTACTTTTTCCTTAATGCTTTTATTTTCTACCTCATTAAATGGCTCATTTAGGAAACGCAAATGTCCAATACTGGGATTTTCCTCCAAAATACTTTCAACAGTGTTTGGTTCAAAGACATCATTGTTAATTGATCTACGATTGCGGGTTGCATTTTCTTTTTGATTGTCAGTCGGTCGCCGTAAGATTGTTCCATCTGTTTCGAGTCTAGTATAAACGAGGCCACTTGGAGTAAAACATGCGCATTTTTTCGTACTCATTTTCGGTTGAGGAGTATTTATTTCGGACTGGAACATAGATAAAATACAACATAAATAAAACAAGATATTTAAAAACAATAAACATTTTAATATGCGTGAAGGACTAACCTCGTATTTACATTTATGCCTTCGCCAGCGTCCATTAACAAGGACACATTTCCACTTGCGACCCTCTGAACAAGGCGCACGTAACTCGGTTTTGGAACATTCTGCGGCGAGTCGTGCCGCCTTGCCACTCGCTATACTTGCTGCTGATTCTATAATACAAATAGAATTTAGTAATAATAATTTTAAAATTTAACTATAGTTACATAGCAAGTAAGCTTTTGCAATATAGTAGTAACTTACGTTCGTAGAGTTTTGATCCTGGTGTCAGAAAATCAAGTTGATTAGAAGCGCTACCTTCTTCTGCGTCGAGGGCTTTCTCCAGATTTGCTTCTAGTATCGGATTGTGACTCTCATTGGTAAGTAAAGGTTCTGATAATTTCTTCGTAGCATCACTTGAATCTGTATTCTCCTGAAAGATAACGTTTTTATAAATTATTTTATTTATGTTTTAAAGGACAAATGTTTAACGGACAATTGTCTATCATATCTATCTTTTAAAAACGTATATTTCGAACTGAAATCAACAAACTTACATTATCATCATCATCATCGAGTTCCAAGAAGTCATCATCATCAGACTCATCATCGAAGTCCCCACTTTCGGAGGAGACCTCCAGCGCCCGAGGTGTCGTCACTTTCTCGTTCATCTCCCTGTTGTACCAGTGAGCGCGTCTCTCCTCCGACAAGTGTGCTTGAGTCTCACGCCGTCCCGAACTACGAAAATGGGTAATAATTACTAAGCTATCCAAGGGATGATTTTAATTTGCTCAAATTGCCAATGCCATAAATCACTTAATGTTTTCGTCTTATTGTGTTGAATACGATATAATACAGCAGCCCAGTCCAGTTCCAGTAGTTAATTAAAAATATATTGTCCAGTCCAATGAGTAAAACTAAGGGATTGTTTGAGTAACCATTAAAAGTAGAGTAACCTTTCGACAAGGA